AGATTTGAGTTGGGAAATGTCAAATCTGTAGAGAAATATGATGAAAATACCTCTGGTTCAATTGTCGGCCCAAAAATTTAGAGCCAGAATGGTTGAATCGGTTTTAGACCGGTTTGGGCTACTTGGGACACCACGGGAGTGGGTTAGGCCATAGGAATGGGTTGCGATGCACATGGAAGCTGGGTCTAGGCTCGGCTCGAGAGCGTACTAGGCTCGCGCTGGGTCGCGACTTGGGCTGATTCGCCTTGGGCTTGAGCCCGTGTAGGTTGGAATGGCACGGCTTGGGCTTGTGGGCCTTAGGTCGTTGTCTTGGCACCATGGGTATGGGCTTTGCCGAGGGTGGTCATGGCGGCTGCTGCCATGGTGGCTACTATGGTGGCACCATGTGGTGGTGGTGCTTCTCCACTTATTGTTGCATTGAGCCTTGTGGATCGTCGTGGTCCTAATTCTTGAACGTTGGAATTTTTGTTCGTCATGGTTTTCGAGTTTCTAGTCATTGTGCTTTTCTTTTACATTTTATCAAAGAATTTTTATAAATAAATAAAAATTCTTAACAATAAGAACGTACAAAAAATCTACAAATGAACAAGAAAACAAAAACCTTGAATGCAAGAGTCTTTTGTGAGCGTTTGAATCAAGACTCTCAATGAAAGCACTAATTTGTGGATGCAAATTTCTTCTTCTTGGACCAAATACACTTGCAAAACAATTAACACTTAAGGTTAAGGCCAAGAGCCTCACGCGCCCACAATGATTTTTTTTTGGGGGGGGGGGGGCCTTTGGCCGAAGAACCTCCGATGCCAAAGTTAGAATTTGAGGGGAGAAAGTGTTTAGAGAAATTTGGAGAATTTTAGAAGAGAATTGGACTTAGGTCTTTGGAGGAAATGAGGCTATATATAGGGGTGTGGCCAGCCCTATTTGGAGAAATAGGGACCGGTCACTTATGGTGGTGATTTGAGTGTAATTGCAATCAATTTGGCAAAAATAAATTTTATTTGAACCCATATAACCTCTTTCTATACCCAACTTAAATTTTAAATGTGAATTGTCTTTTTTACCCTATAACATAATTACCATTAAGTACAAGGTTAAGTTAACAATAAACTAAAATTTATGTATAAACTGACACCCAATAATCAAACACTCCACAATGTTTATCCTACATTCACCCCCTCATCAAACTGGTTGCGCGGCAAATGCAACCCCTAAACGCTTGGAAGATGTTGGCATATATTGTCTGGTAAACTACCACTTAAGTTGTTTAGGGCTAGAGCCAAAACTGTTAAAACATGACATGTTGAAGATAGCAGAAAGATGACCTGTTAAAAGATCATTAGCCTGCACAAACAACCACTCCACCTGATCTTTATTGCCAATCAAGTTTGGAATTCCTGAAAAATCAACACATACGTATATGTATTGGAATGGTTCCATTAAAGATTCAAGTCGTTGAACTAAAGCTAATCAACTTCAACATGTGTAGATGAGACAATTCCAGTGGCAAGGTACCACCAAAATTGTTGTTTTTGAATTCCAACTCAACAAGAAATGACAGGTTGCCTAGGTGGGGATTTGAGAGCAAGAAGAGCAGACTAGTTTATGCTGAAGTTGGCTTGTGCTGCTACTGAATCTATTCTTAAGATGGGTACTTATATACAGAAATATTGGACTAGTAGCAACAACATCGTCAACGAGGAGAAACAAGTTGTCACCAATATTCTGCTCTGTGAACCAAGAAATAAAAAGAAATAGGAACTCAAAGGTAGATCTTTGGCGGCAATGACATATTGTCAACCCGGTAAGTTTAAAAGTGTATTGAATTTTACGTGATTTTTAACGCTTTGAATGAGTGTAAAATAAATTTACATATTGAATTTGGTTGTGAGGGTGATTTAGGTAGTAAATTTGGGTTTAAAGAGATATCAATAGTTTAATTAAAAATAATATGGGTGTAGAAAGTAAGTTTGGTGTATAAAGAGGTTATATGAGTTCAAATAAAATTTCCCTTTGGCAAATCAATTAATTAATTTGCCAATTAATCCCAACTTGAAAAGAATAATTGGGAGTTACCTTGTAGGGAGAATTTGATGAGGATTGATGAGAGAGTTTTGAATAAATACCATTTTGATCACCTTTGACCTTAATTGAGTTGTTATTGTTTGTTGCATGTGCGTGGGAATCCTTATGTGCCTCGAGAGTAATTTTGCCTTTTTCACCCAAAAGTTCACATATCGCCTCTATAATTTTTTTTTATTATTTTTTGCTCCACATTTAATAACCCAAAGGACTGAGAGAAGCTCGCCGCTTAGCATAATCGCCAGCATCAAGCCCCCAACTACACTCTTTTAATTAGAAATTTAGATTAAGTGTAGGCTTAACGTGTATGATAACCATTTCATTGTTGATATTTGGTTTCTATTTTTTGTGCTCGAGAATTTGAGGAACGTATGTATTAATTAGAAAAGATGGATAAAGAATGATGATGAAAGAGAGGGTGATGTGTTGTATCGTTCGTTATAAGCCTAGCAACTACTAGTAGTGGTGCAGTTACATATAGTCATAGACATGAAGAATCTAACAGAATACGATCTCACATCTCGTAACATGGTGTAATAGGGTTTTTGCAGAGCCATCCAATCAATAAGCTCAGATATAGAAGCTTTTCCTATCCACCCCTCTCTAAATCTCATTTAAGTACTAATTGTTTTTGCTCGTGTGTGTGTGTGTGTGTATTTATATCATATCAGATCTTGTGTCTATGCTACATACGAAATCGGGAAAATATTAATAAATAAAAAAATCAACATTTTTAATGATACAAATTCATAATCGGATAACATATACATGTGTTAATGTTGTCAAACAATATCACGACAATAACATTTTTTATTTTATTTTATATGAATAAGTTGTTTCTCAATTACCTTGGAGCTAGCTGATAGAATCAATTTTAAAGGTTAAAAAAAAAAAAAATTAATTAATTAATCACTATTAGCATATATTTTGGGTTTTGACCAGTCCAAAAAGTATAGGTTTCTTTTTTCTGGTTTATGAACATGATATATATACACACACCTATAGAAAAAATTAGTATTTAGTCCCTACCTTTTAATGTGCATTGACTGAGACCTTCAGTGTTTAGATTTTGATTAAAGTTCCTAACATTAATGTATTAGTGAATTACATGTCGGTTACATAATTTTTGAAAATAAAAATTAGTAATTGATTTAGGATTTTAATACTCACACCCTTATTAAATTCGTAATTAATTTTCAATTTAAAACATTTCCAAAATATGAAAGATAAAATTAGAATAAGTTTGTATCCATTAATTCATATGTACCCATTCATATAATTTTTCAATTTTTTTTCTAATTTTAAATGTACCCATTCTTAAATATACCAATTCGTTATATGTAAAATGTACCCTTTTTCAATATAAAATGTACCCATTTTTTATATAAAATTCATTCAATCTTTTTTCTAATCCATTTTTTAAACTTAAATGGGTACATTCTATTTCGTTAATTTGATAATGTATTCATGTCATGTTTAATAGAAGATAATTAATAATGTTACTAAGCCTAATATCTTTTTTTTTTTTTTTTTTTTTGTGTTTTTGAAAATTGTATCCATGTTTTGGTACAACAATTTTTTGGTTAGTTTTGATGAACGTACCATGTATATACACACACATATACAATATATTGGAGAGTATAACTTATCTTTAATATTTTTAATCCCATAAATTATGGGTTTTATTTAAAATCTTATTAATATAAATAACTACAAATTTCATTTTTAATATAAAATTATAATAATCTATATAGAATACATTATTACATTAATGTTAGGGATTTCGATCAAAAATTAAAACCTACAAAGGTTTCAATCAAAGAACATTAGTAATTAGTATAGCAACCGTATCCAAAAGTCCCCCATATATGTATATGCATGAAATTATACTAATTAACCGATGCAATTAATTGGAGTTTTGGTCACCAATTCCATAAAAAGATAAAACATTGACCCCAAAGAAATAAAAAAGCCTCTGGAAAAAAAATAAATAAATAATCCAAAGATAATGATTAATCAACTGTGAGTTGGTTGCTCAGTGGTAAATGGCGGACTGCGAGGCTTCCTTCAATCATTACAAAAAATGTGTGGAGGTCTCGAGTTCGAAACCCGTTGCTGGTGTGGAAGTCAGACTTTATGATCAATGTGAGTCTTCATAACCCCTGAAAAGAGTGAATAACCGTGGTTTACCACTCATTACCCCTCATTTTGAAAAAAATAAAAAAAAACAGGGAGAGAGAAAATAAAGATAATGATCAATCAGAAGTTGGGAAAGAATCTTATTCCTGAGTTCCAGCGTACAACATATACACACATGCAACCCGGAAGGTAACCATGTAGGTGTCCACTAACCAATTCATGATGATGTACAAGTTAAAAATATATATACAAGTTAAAAATTTACTATTTTATTTCACATTTAAGCAACGGGCCCTGTGCCTCTGGGCTGGCCAATCCCAGAAGAATGTCGGTTGTGTAAAATTTAGGAGGGAGGGCATGGCACGGCAATGGCATGCGGTGAAATTTAAAATTAAAAAAAAAAAAAATATAGGAATCCAAGTAATTGATTTTGGTTTTGCGTTTCCCAGTAGAAAGCTCATCACGGTGGTCCACTCGAAATGTCCTTTTTCTTCTTGACCTGCTCTGACCTTATGCTGTATGTTAGATGCTACCCAATTATATATATATGGGGATCCCCTTCTTTTGTAAAAAATGGAGATTAGTTGTGGCGCTTACTCTATGTCGTACTTTAACAATTTGATTATTTTGTAAGTATCGATTTATAAATTATTTTTGAAAAAATTCAATCCAATGCAAAGTCATTTGTACAATTAATTATCATGATGAAATATGTCAATTTTTTAAATTGGATGCCTCATTATCTGGTTAATGTTTTATAAAGATGATTTATGAGATACAACTTAAAAAATAAATGGTTTAAATCGTTAAAGTTCAATGTGGTGTAGGCCCCACAACACTTCCATTTTTAAAAGTAAATAAAAACCCATCCCCCTTAAGGCTATATATTTTCACAAGAGAGAGGGGAGGAGGAGAGATAAGTGGTCCAGTCACCAGTGCTTGCAGTATGTATGAGATTCCCAGATTCCCAGACTCCCAGCTAATAGCATTATGATAATCCTCCCTGCTGCAGAAAACACTTTTGCTTTTCCTGTATCCTACATGCATACATTTCTTTCTTCAGGCCCCGGTCAGTCGTACATTTGTTTGTGTCTTGTGTTACTCTTTGGGTTTACAACTTTTGAGAGTGAGAGAGAGAGAGAGAGAGAGAGATAGAGATAGAGATAGAGATAGAGAGAGTAGCTGGATACATACAAGGCAGATGAGCCTAAACTTATATTCTCTTTTCTTCTCCTCTATACGTTCGTTCATTGTATAGCGCAGATGGGAAAATGAGCTCACTGATCCACTAGTTAACTGTGCGCATGCAGGACAAGGAATATTATTATTCTGATCATACTGTCTAGGAATTAGGAAAATCTTATGTATATAATCGGAAAATCTGGAGTACTCCACATTAATTATTGAAGAAGCAGCCACTTAAGAGTCTTTAGATCCAATTTAATAACTATCGACGAAAATTTATCACATATCTATTTTTTTTAAAAAGAAGATTACGATATTTCATTTATTGGTAAAATAGCATTACAAAAACATATCATGAAGAACTAGATTCGAAAGGGGTCCTTGCAAACTATAACTGAAATTATTACAATAAAGCATCACTAATCGCAAAGCAATGAGTAAACTTCAAGCACTCGTCCGAACTCATCAAGAACCGCACAATTGCACAGATCAATAAAATTGTTAAACTTCATATTACAAGGAGATCATGTGAGAACAAAATCTCCAACCATAAATTAGGATAGGGAGTACAATATATACGGGTCAATCACATCACCTAATAATCGACATGATCTTAGAACACCAAATGAAGCAGATCCAGCAAATCAAATAGCTCCACTATTCACACAAAGATCCAAAAGAGGTAGCTAGCACACCAAAACAAAAATCAAGTTCATGCACTCTTCTATAGAAGCAATCAAACTAGCAAACTCTTGTACAGAGAAAAATCAAACCAAACTCCAAGACAATTCTTGAAAATTATTAAACATAAACAAAATAAAAAGATAAAATTATGTCGCCACTCCATATCTTTTGGACATCAGAAAGTCATATCACTGAACTGGTTAAACCCAAAGTGACTAAACTCGATCCTGACACAATTGAACAACTTTTATGGCTTCCCGCTTCAACCCTATATCAAAGGTGTTAACTGAATCCAAAACCTTGTGTTAACTGTATGCGTGGGCCAAAAAATGATTACTATCACAGTGACTCCAGCGTTTCACGAAGACAATTCAACACCAAATAAAGTAAACATAAAGTGAAAGGGAAGAGAGAAATAATGATTTTCATTTTCAAGAAGACTATCGAGGATCCCAAAGCCAAAGACAGGAACCAACGGCAAAAAATATTTCCTTTGTTTTTTCGCTAAACGGCTAGGGTAAAAAACAAAAAAAAAAAAAAAAAACAAAACAAAAACAATCACATATCTATTTAGTTATATTATTGTTAGTTTTTTGGTTTCTTCAAAGTTTTTTCAATTTTTTGGTTTTTTTTTTCTTTTTTTTGTTTTTTTTTGGCATTTTTTACTTAATCTTTACTCATTTGATTTGTCATCTTAAAGAATCAAAGAAATAAAATCTCTAATTGTCTTGAAACTCTATGTTTTTACTTTGTCGAAAAAGAGAATTGATAATGGATAATGTTATGCAATCAAATCGCCAAGACCACAACTAAAAATTTAGGAAGCCCTAAATTTGTGTTAGATTTATGAACCAACGGTCTAAATTAAAATGTAATTTTGTCCGAATGGTTAGACAAACCATATGAGATATTCAACAGATGCTAGCTAGATTGGAATAATGGGATTTATCTGCAGGATTAAATATATATTAAAAAAATAAAAAAATAAAAAATAAGTTTCTTATTGTTTAAAGAATGTTTAAGCTTAGAAATTAGAAAATAATCATATAACTTCATGAATCTCTTGTGATAACAAAACGTAAGCGAATTAAAAGACAAAACACAGAGAAAAGAAATTATTCTAGCTCCTTTTGGGGTTATTAACCAGAGATCATGAGAAATATCCATGAGACAAGCGTGGAACAAGATGGATGGATTTTGGTGTCATGTGTCACGACTCATGAGAGAGCCGATGTTGTGTCAGGCTTCGACCTTCTTTTTAACCAGATCCAGCATCTAATTTTACCGTAATTTGGGCCAAAGCTATTTGCCACGGTTTGTTTTTTTCCAGTGCCCCTCGTTATATGTGTTATGGTGAAATGATTAAAGTCTCATGGAAAATAATACATGTGACAACCAGTAAAATGACAGAAACGCCATAATTAATCTCTCTGCAAAAGTAGAAGCATCTTATCTCATCACATCCATGTAGAATAAAAACCCTAAAACATCCACATGAAGAAGAAGAGAGAAAAAGATAAAGTACCTTTACAGATCAGAAACATCAGCCTCCATACTTTGTAAATTACAATGCTGCCCCTGTGGAATATGATTATAATTACCCAACATGACCATAATACCCTAGCTAGCTAGTTCTAGCTAAAATCTTTGGAAATGAGAAAAAACTAAAGCTTTGAAACTATCTGCAAAATTGAAGAGGATGAAGAAATAGAACAAGATGACGAGACGCAGGCATGGACATGGGTTTTATATGCTTGGCTCCTCATACGCCATCCACAGAGGCCATCGATGTTCGGTGGGACTCTGCAAATGGCATACAGGGAGCCAGGCACATATATATACATATATGCATATGTATGCATGCGTGAATCATGCTAGCTAGCTATAAATATATGCCACTAATTAACAAAACCTACATGGGTCAATTGATGAGGTATTTCTTACATATCTACCAGCTAGGGTTTTTAGAAAATATTCAATCCTAAAACCTAATCTAATGCTAACCCAACATCCTACCCTCCTTGAATATGAATACTATGCATATGTATGCTATAAAAATGAGTTATTTTGTATGCGACATGGGTTTTTGAGGGAGAGCAAATTATGCATGGACTTGGAGTGAAAAAGATTTTGTAGGGAAAGCTAGATCGGAGAAGCTTTGCCATGGCTATAGAGGGTAAGACAAGGAGAGGTTGCAGTGGTGGAGATTGAGAGAGAAGAGAGAGAAGAGAGAGAGAGAGAGAGAGAGAGAGAGAGAGAGAGAGGGTCATATATTGAGGAGAGAGAAGAGGGGAGCGAAAAATGGGATAATGATGGGAACTGGGTCATAATCAAAATGGAGTTTCAAAGCCCCACAGGCATAGAGGAAGACCCATTTGAATGGGCATAAAACAAGCAAACCAGACTCCAGAGGGTTAAACTTAGGGATTTAAAGGGGTAAAGCCTAATACTTTGTGGGGTTTTCTTTTTCTTTTTTTCTTGTGTGTGTGGGATTTTCAGAGTGGAAGGAGGAGAATGTGGGGTTGGACTTGCACCCCCAGCTATTGCCCTCTAAATATAGGCACCAAACCAACCAGGAGAGAGCAACAAAGACATGGGACCGAGAGAGAGAGAGAGAGAGAGAGAGAGAGAGAATAGGGTGGGTTGGGTTAATAACCACGCAATTTCCTAAGCTAGGCCTTATGCTGTTTGAAATCTCCTTTTCTGGGTCGTAAAGCAAACTTTACTTTTCTCTTCTCTGAAGCTCACTTTGTCTGGGAGTGCTTGGAAGACATGGATTCCTTCATCCCTCGCCCTACTTTCATTTCCTTTTTAAATAAAAAAAGATAAAGTGACCTAAAAGAGAAAAAGGAAAGAATACCATAATTTTATCATCTTTTTCTTTTTGTACCATCACCTCTTTAATCTTTATATTCCTTTTTCCTTTTTCATACCCTTCACACATATTTTATTACTAAATTTCATTATATAATACTATTTTGCTTCACCAACAGATATTTGTACTTAACCTCACCTTTTGTTAGATATTAAAATTAGAATAATCCATGACATGTTGCTGGCTTTACCTAATTCGACCTTACTTCCGTCTGATGTCCATACAGGTTGCATCCCACAGTCAACACTTTGAAGAACAATATTGGGCTAAAGGTTTTGAAGAAGTATCCTCGAAGCTATACCAAAATTCATGTTTATATGATTGGAACTATTCGTATTATAAATTACTATGTAAAGATTATCATAATAAAAAAAAATCAATAAAATATAAGATAGTTTAGTCACTAAAGTATATAAAAACAGATGGTCGACACCGGTAAAATATTACGGGTGTTCTATCTATTTGCTACAACTAATTGATTAAACAATCATACCTTTAATTAATCTTTTGCATAATAATTTATAATACGATTAATTTCAATTATAAATACGAAAATCCATGAACCGATCACGAACTACTTTAAGGAGAATTTGCTACATTATCTTGTGGAGCCAAGTAGTGCTCCACTTAGAATTACCCTTTTAATATTATCTATTTTATAATCTAATATAATATAATGTACATGTTATAGATATATAAAATAAATAATTTGGAGCACAACCATCAATCTATATATAATCAATCAAAGAGTAATGCTCTCCTAAGGACCTAAAAATGAGGTCATGTGAGACGAATCAAGGCTCAGGAAGAGGGCATTGTCACGTTATCTAGCACGATGATGAAATCCCTAGTGCAACAAATCAAGCTCTCACACACTAACGTTAACACTAGTAGAAAAAACAGCTTGCGCAACGAAAAATATTTCGTCACACAAGACGTACTTACGTGATCGAAAAACAAATTTGTTGCGCAAAACAAAAAGGATAGGGAAAGAAAAAAAAATTGCACAACAAAAATATTCGTCGCACAAGAATACTTAGCATGATGACTAAACGATGTCGTCGTGTAAAGTCAACAAGAAAAGAAAGGGTAATTTTTTTTGGTGCAAGAAATTTGTGCGACGAAAAAGGGGCCTTTGCGCGACCAATTATTCGTCGTGCAAGTTCCTGTCAGTTTTGACCATTTATTGCATGTGAATCAAAGGAATTAATACGGCATTTAATACAGATGTTTGCGCGGCAAAGCCTTTGTCGCGCAAAGGTCCAAACTTTCCTATAAATATGTGCTTCTGCTGTCCTTTTCTTCACAATTATGTTCTCCTTTCGTACTGGGATGGTGGATAAAAACAAGGTTGAAAGTGTGCGCGACGCCAACCTACATGATTTGAGGGACCATTTTGAGTTTTCGCATGCGATTGTTGTAGCCATGGGGAATAATTGTCTCATTGCTGAGTGGCGTTCTTAGGAAGATGTGCCCGGAAATGTGAAGAAGGTTGTGATGGATGAACTATTAGTAAGTCTATTGTTGATGATCAATAATTATGTGAAATTTTTAGTTATATGTTGGAATTAATTATTTGCATATATGTGTAACAGTGTAAGTATACTCTTGATGATGATACGAACGAACAATTGATGAAGTTGAAGGATGGTGCATTGGAGGGAGGTTTCAATCAGTGGTGTTATGAAGTCTTGAGGAATGGACCAGGACCATCCAAATAGTAGTTGTAAATTTATGTTTTGTATGACAATATTTAAATTTAAGGTTTTTTTTTATAAGTTATGTATTTGGACTTAATTAGGTTTCAATTCTTGTTGGATTTTTTTATTGAGACCTAATGTAAGCACCTTATCCTCGGTTTATATGTGTTTTCAATCTTCAATGAATATCATACTTATGCTGAAAATAATTGTATGAATTAAGGCATTAATTATTTACAAAATAAATATTTAAAGTATTAATTATTTATAGAATAATATTTCAGGTATTAATTATTTATAGAATAAATATTTTTTGAACATTTGTTTGTAATTATAAAGTTTACGTAAATATAGATATCTATGTTTACATAAACTTTATAATTACAATTATTTTATTTGTCACGTAAGACAACTTTGGGCGACGAAAACATTTGTTTGTCGCGCAAAGAACAGTCAGACTGTGTTCAAACCTTCCCATTTATTGGGCATTTAGGACGCATTTTGAGCGACGAACATGGAGATTTGGGCGACGAGCAAAGGTGTCCTAGTGCTATATAAACACAGTTTCAAAGCCCTAGTTTTCAAAAAAAAAAAAAATTGTTTCAAAAGAATGGCCGATTCTGGAGAAGGTTTTGGCAAAAAGAAACTTGTAGTGCGATTAGAGAGGCATCAACGGAAGCAAGTGCCGTACTTTGAAGGCAAAAATATGGCTGAGGCGTATGCCGAATTTAAGTATGACATTGGGAATTTGGTGCGGATTGGGAATTTGGTGCGGATGGATTGTTTTGCTGAGTTTGAGTCTTGGAAAAGGTCTCTGAGGAGTTGAAGAAGTCCATGTTGGGAGGTTATCGTTAAGTTTGTAGAAAATAATGAACAATTATTTTTGTTAAAACGTAATATTTTTTAAATTACTAATTTATTGTTATTGGCATTAATTTAGGTTCATTAGGATGTTGATGAAACCGATGAGAAGCAACAGATTTATGTGGATGGGCTTTTCAAGCAGAGTTTCCAGTAGTGGAAGTTTGATGTGCTGCGAGCAAGAAAGGATTGAAGTTGATGAGGGTTGTTTTTATTTTTTATTTTTTAAATAAGATTTTGTGGACTTTATATTTAATTTAATGAATAAATATATGTTACGTGGATGAGTACTAATATTTACATTAATTATAATTTCTATTTAGGGTAGTAAATTAGTTTTGTTAATTAATTTAATGTTTAATTAGGTTTGAGTTTTTTATTTATAATAAAATAAAATATACAATACATACAAATAAAACATAAAAACATAAAAAAATAAAAAATATGCATTGCGCGACGGTACATGTTTTCGTCACGCAATTTGTTGAAAAGAATAAATTGTAAAGTAAAGGAAATAAAATAAAAAAAAGGGTAAACTAGCGCGACGAATACCATGTTTGTCGCTCAAAGGTTATTTGCGCGACAAAGACTTGTTCAACCATGTGTAGAGGGAAACTGCAAAAAGGAATTGCAGATTGTGCCTCTGCACTCATCCCTTCGATTTTGCTCAATCCGACATCAATCATTTCCATTTTCTCTCAATTTCATCATCTAATACTCCTTCCATCTTCTTTTCTAGGTTGATCGAGCTATCTCGGTATGTCTGGTAAGCGTTTTTTGTCATTAAGGTAAAAGTATTAATGTAAATTCATACTAATGCCATTAATTTCGTTATCCATAGGGATATTGTGTGTGATTAGCGATTGGTGGAAAGCGATTGAGATTCTTCGTTCTATTTTGTTAAAAATATAAAATTAATTAAATTATGTTGAACTTAGTTTGTTATGTTTATATTGTGTAGTGAAGCTATATTTATATTATGTTATTAAATTTGTGCATGACGTACAAATATGTGTTGTGATGTACGGAGTTAATTGAAATTAACTTCGTACCTGTTTTTTTATTTTTAGTAAAACTTAGTTTCCCGTTCGAGGATTAGTTAGATTTCGCGCATGGATGCGAAAGCATGACTACGGTCCAATTAATTCTTAAATTGTCCCATTATTTGGACAGTTTGGGAATGCACAGTTATGATGCGTAGTTTATGGTTGAAGGATTAGGTTTCAATTGTGGAGATTTTGGTGTCATCTCTGTACATTATTCGGGTCGTACACCTGAAGAACTGTATCAAGATGTTGCCAAAATTCATCCACATCGAAATCTAATCTGATGTAGCCGTAAATTGCGTAACATGACTATGCATTCCCAAATGGGATAGGGCATTTACCCGAAGCATAAGGTGACATTATGATTTTGTATGAAGTTGTTGTGATTGTTGTATTGTTATTGTGGTTCCAGGAATTATGAACATGACGTGGATACAGAACCTAAATAGATGCGCGAATGAATACTTAGATGGAATCGAGGATTTTATTGACTTTGCACGTACACACAACCCGGGTGCAACTAGAATCTGGTGTCCTTGTAGGAGGTGTAACAACATGTTAAGGGAGACAATTGAAAATGTTCGATTTCATTTAGTAAGAAATGGAATGATTGAGACATATAATACTTGGAACCATCATGGGGAACAATTAGACAATGCTTCGTCTTCAAACGCCATAAGAGTGGAGAATGTTAAACCTATTGTGGATCCTAATGAACAAGTCATGGATATTATAAATGATGCTTTTCCATTTGCATCAACAAACACCAATCAGGAAGGGGAAGTTGACGTGGCTACACCAATGGACAGTGCAGAGTTCGAACAATATGAAAAACTATTAAAAAAATGTCAACCAAGGGTTATACCCGGGGTGCAAGAGCTTTGCCGTTCTCACGGAACTAATGCATAGAAAAATAAAGTATCGTATGTCGAACCACTGTTTCAATTACTTTTTGGGGGGTTTTCAAGAGAATGCTTCTGAAAGACAATTGTTTGCCGAAAGACCATAGACATGTGCAAAAGGTATTGAATGGTCTTGGATTAGGTAATGAAAAAATTCACGCTTGCAAAAACAATTGTATTTTATTCTACAAAGAGAATAAAGCATTAGATAAATGCCCTGTATACAATGAGTCACGA